TAGCCTAACTGTCCAAAAATAAAGACCGATGAATGAGATGGTGGTATTTATGTGTGACGGAACTTCGGATTGCCACCACAGCAATGTCACCGCCACAAAGAGCTGGAAGAAGCGATGACACCCTGAAATAACATTCACCCATACTTCAGGGGATCATAAGACATTTGCAGAAGGAGGAGATGGAAAAAGAGGAGCAAACTACGGGATGTGGGAGCTCTGGATGGTAGAAGTGGGGGGCGTGTTCTTGAATCTCTCTCCATTTGGCAGCTTTCGAAAATGAGCCCACTCTAGGAACAAGAGGCCAAGGAACACAGGGTATCAGAACATTTTCAGAAGCCAGAAGGCATGGGTTCTAACCCCAGCTGCCACCCTCCTGCTCACAATCCTTGAGACATTTCCCCAACCCCTTTCTGCTAAGCGCCATAAACTCTAAGGGTGCTATGAAAGGCCCAGGGAATCCTGAGGAGTGACTGCACACAGAACGGGGTATTGAGACCCTACTTCCTGCATTAGGGCTGGTGCCCGCACTACTGGTAATCACTGTTCAAAGCGGCTCCTCAGCTCCACCAGCAACTCCCTGAAGGCAGTTTATGTGCTCAAGCCTGGAGCCTGATGCCTGGGGGTCCTCAGGAGGCTTACACTCTGCTGGGAAACTCCTTGTCTTGTGTTTCCTTCCTGCCTGCTGCTAACTCTTCTCTCTGCTGTGCCCTTGTCCCGTCTCATTGCAAGGTGATCCCTCCTTGTTTGATGTCATTCCCTTGCAGCTGGCCAGGAACTGTCTCAACATACATGAAGATCAAATTCACAGCCTTTGTACCAAAAACCCAGAGGCACAGAGGCCATTTCAGTCCTGGCCATATCCTTGTAAAGCTGCTGAGCTCACTGTGGTCTCCAAAGCTCGCAGGTGGGAGAGGAAGCAGCCTCTTACCACTTAGGTCTGTAGTCTAGCCTCTCCTCCAGTTCCCATCTTGGCAGACAGAGGTATTCTCTGTAAATGTGCACAGCAGAGGAATACAGAGACTTGGAAGTCTGTGTTGAACACAGGCTTGCTGCTGTTGCTGGAAGAAGAGCAGGTTACGGACAGGACACACAACTTGTCCCTTGAACATCTGGCCTTCTTGCGATCCATAAAGAGTCCCTATAAACGGGATTATCTCTTTTTGACGTCAGCTTCCCTCTCCACCATCTCTTTGGGGACAGCCCTATTTTCGTGTCAATAGGCAAAGATCTGAATTCAGGGTCTTTGGGTGCTTTGGTCAGTCAGGCGTCTGGAACAAACAGCAAAGGTGACGACACTATGTAAGACACAGGTGATGGAAAGTCTTGCCAGCCTGTGGCTCAGTCAAGCAGAGTGGGAAACACTGGCAGCACATCTTGAGGTGCTGAAACTTTCCCACGAGGACGGGGAGTGCTTGTCCTGGGCAAGCTCAGAATCCCCCACCCCAGGAGCCCACCCTTTCTGTTATACTCTGTGACTGATGCTGGAGCCACCAGGCTGGACGCTTCTGGCTTGGCCATGTCTCTTGGAGTTCATTGATTGTGAACTGGCCTTCTGGGAGACCCGGGGTTCTCCCCTGGCTAAACAGTCACCATCTCTTTTATTTCAGGCTATGATTCTCTAGTAAGCTTCCAGTTTTCACATTTTAAAGTCCTGCTAATTCTGGCTGGTGATCAAAAGGAGCCCGTCAACAATAACAACAAAAATTGTCAATCGGTAGCACATGTTGGGTTCTAGAACTGAGCCTCTGTCTCCTAGCAACAGAACTCAGCACTCTGCTTGTCGCCCCCATCCTCAATTCCATCCTGGTCTTTCTTACCAGGCCTTGGAAACAAGACCTGGAAGGAGCATGCTGGGCCAGGCACCTGTCCTTCCGTCTAGGCTACAGGTTGATCTTTAGGTCAGGGGTGCTATCCACATTCCAATTGTAGCTTTGAAATCTCTCTTACACTTCCCACAACTCCTGGCCTGTGGAGCCTGAGGTAGAGAACTGGGCTTCTTTAGCCTCCGTGTTTCATGAATTCGCTTCCATGCTGAATCCCGAGACTCAAGCCCACAGTGGCTCCCCTCATGTCCCTCTCTGCAGGAGTCTTTAGGACTCAACATGAACCATTCTCCAAAATCTTAAACTTTCCCCAACACTTCAGCCACTAGAAATCTCAAGGTCAAAGTGCAAAATAGACCCGGTAGTGCACCTCCGTGTGCCCGGTTCTCAGCACTGTCCCTGCCACTTCTCCCTGGGAAAGGGCTGGTTCAATTTACACCTCCACAACTCAGAGATCACATCTGTCCTGCAAAAGGGATTTTCAAGCAAAGGCTGTTAGTGTAACAGCATTATTGGGTGGGCAACCAACTAGCATTTTAGGAATGAAATTAGGACAGAACAGAAACTACCAGAGAGAATAAGTGGGTAAGTGCTGTTCTGTGAAACTTTTATTTCAGGTGTGTGTGTGTTTATGTGTGTGTATATGTGTGCGTATGTGTGTATATGTGTGTGTGTATGTCTGTGTCATCAAAGTCTGTCTCTTAACACATCTCATGGAAGTTCTCCCAGCACTTTCCTTACAGTAGCCCAAAACTCAACCTTGGGTTGAATGTTCCAACAGGGGGATTAAGGGATGACTTGGTGGTTAGGAGCTCTTGTTGCTCTTCCAGAGGATCTGGGTTGGATTCCAGCACCGAAGTGGTGGCTCACAAATACCTGTAATCACAGGTCGAGGGGCCCTGATGCCCTCTTCTGGCCACCACAGCATGCACACAGTGCTGCACAGCAAAACTGCACAAGCATGTGCATGCACACACAAAGAAGTCTTTTTCAAAACAAGCACAAACCTTCAGCAGTACTCTTGGGTCTTTCTCAACATGATACCTAGCATATGAACGTGATTGTATTTTCCTTGTGTATTTTTCAGGTCCATTGCAAACTTCTCAAGGAAAGAAAATGTAAATATTATTGTCTCTCTGTCCCTGTGTGTCTGGCATCTAGTAGATACTCAACAGATGCGTGTTGTGTGAAGGAACTCCTGTGTCAGAGGAGAATTTCAGGGTGGGCAGAATGAAGGTGTGTGTGTAAGGGTTTAGAGCTCTGGCTCTTTTTCAGGATAAAAGGCACAGACCAAAGGAAGGTGTGTGAAGGCAGATTCAGACAGCCATGGTATGTAGAACGTTGTAGAAGCCAGCTGAGGGACCCCTCCCTGGGCTAGGGACAGAGATGTCCATCTGGAATACTCAAGACAAGAGGCGCCACCACCCTGCCCACTTGAGAATGTCAGGAGACCTAGTTTCTGCAGTCTGTCCTCCCTGCAGGAAGTAAGCTGGGAGAAGCTTTTCTGGAGAAGGTGGTGCCTGAAAAACCTGGGTCTTAATTAGACAGGAATTGGAGATTAGCTGGAAAGCCCGTTGGTGGACACAATCTTATTGTAGAAAGAGCACTGTGAGGTCTTAATGTGCAGTATGCCTCACATTCACTAGATATGTGCATGCTTGTGAGAGAGCGTACTTATGTATTCTCTGCACTGTGTGTAGGTGCTCTCGTGGCTTGCACATCTGCATGTGCACATGGTATATATGCATGTACGTATGTGTGCCTGTGTATTGATGTGGGGGTGTGGCCATATGTCATGTATATGTGTGTGGAGTAGGTAATGTAGTACACACTATGTATATGTGTTTTTGATATGTGCCTGCTCATGTGCTATGTAAATAGTGTTTACATGCCTGCATGTGTGGATGTTTATGTGTGCATATAAGGGGAGGTATGTGTGGCCATGTAACATGTATATTCATGTTGGTACTTTGTGTATGTACACATGTGGGAGAGCGTGTGCTTGTGGTCATATGATGACATGTATGAATATGCATATATGTGGGTAGTGTGCATGTACAGGCCTGTGGCATGCATATATGCATGTAGAGTATGTGTTTGTGGAGTATCTTCATGCAGCCATGTGGCATGAATGCACATATGATCTAGCTGTGCTTGTGGACTACATGCATGTGTGTGTATGTGTATAGAGGGCCTGGGTTCCTGCCCTTCCTTAGTCCCTCAGGAATTTTCTCTACTTCCTAGACCCTTTAAATGCCACACTGGACCAGGGTGCAAAGCGAAAGGCTCATGCTGGTGGCCACCTAGACTGGGGCTTCTATTAGCATGTCTATTGAGGCATAGGAAGGGAAGGGAAGGGAACCTCATGGTCATGTACCTGCAGAGCCACCTGGGAAATACAAGGACTTATGAGTTATCTCCTGGGCTTCAAGGAACTTACTAGGGACGGTGGCTCAGCTGGTTTGCGGGTGCAAACCTGTTCTACATTGACAGGCACGTCACTCCTCAGAAAACCAGCAAAGTGACTTTGCCCTTTATAGACTCTAGAAGACGGATGAGGAGTGGGATGGCACCCAGGGGGCACTCAGGGGACAAGGAAGTATTTCTGGGCAGGTGAAAAGGAATGCCTTCTTAGGGTAGACACAGAGCCCACAGGGTGGCTGGCACGCTCTGGAGATAGGACAGGGCAAGTGCCCCCAGATGCTCCCTAGTGGACCCAGAACATCAGCGCACACCATGGAGCCCTGGTGCTTGGCACATGTGGGGAACGGGCTCCAAGTATCCTTTGCTTGGGATAAACTCTGGGTTCACTCTCCCGGTCCATATCAAACAAGGTCTGGGGCCCCAGTGTCACAGGCCTTCTGTGGAAGCCTCTGGGGGGGTCCCGAGTTCACAAACTTCCCGCTGGCCCTGCGGGTCCTGCGCGCCCAGGGCCCAGGCTGTGGGTATGCTGGGCCGTCTCTGTCGCCATCCAGAGGCTCGGCTGGGGCGCGGCGTCCCCTCTGCTCGCCTCCCTCGCCAGTCCCGGGCCAGTGCGGGGCCCCGTCACACCGGGCACGCGCTCAGGCGCGCCCCTCGCACTGATGACGGGGCGCGCCGAGCTGGGGCGCGCAGCGACGCCCAGAGCCGCGGGCTGGCGTCCCCGGGCGGGCGAGCACGGGCGCGGGCGGCGCGGGCGCGGGCGCGGCGCGGGCGGCGCGGGGCGCAGTGGGCCGGGGCCCGGGCGCGGCGGCGGCGGTAAAGGAGCACGGCGACGAGGAGAAGGAAGACGAGGAGGAGATGGCACACGCGGGGCCCGCACGTGGAGGCCGGCACGGGGGCGCGGGCAGGGCCGGCTGCTGAGACGCGCTGCTGCCCCCCGCGCGGGCACCGCGGCTTCAATGGCGCCATCGCCCAGGACCAGCAGCCGGCAAGATGCGACCGCCCTGCCCAGCATGTCCTCAACTTTTTGGGCGTTCATGATCCTGGCCAGCCTGCTCATCGCTTACTGCAGTGAGTACCGTGCACCGAGGCCCCACTCGGGCCTCGGGTCCCCGGGCCGGCCCCTGCCCCGGCGGGGCGCCCCGCGTCGGTGCAGAGTTGCGAGTGCGTGGCGCGCGGTCCCGGGTCTTGGCCGCTTCTCCACTGGCCCGCGAGGGCTGGGTGCAGGAGGCTGGCTCCGGGTTTCAGGCACTTCGCTGCCGGGCGCATCAGCCCGAGCGTGCTTCCGCGGACTCGCCAGCAGGGCCGGCGTCAGGCCCAGGCCAGCACGGCGCGTCCCTGCGCGGGGGTGCCCACTGCCCGCCGTGCGGTCGCCACTCTGGCCCAGGCTGGCGACCGAGCGGAACTGCGCGCGCTGAGCTTCCCGCCGGCGACACTCCCTCCGGGGACTTGTGGGGACGCAGCAGCCTAGCCCAAGCGGGACTCCTCAGGCAGGAGCGCGGCTTGGGTGCCAACGCGTGGCGGAGCTTCTTGCCTTTCTGAGAAGCGGGCTCGCCAGATGCTTTCTGTAAAAGGAGAAGTAAGGGGACGGATGCCACTGGAGGGGAGGGTCCGCTACCGCTGCGAGGGTGGTTTGTTGGAATGAATTGGCGACCCAGTGGGTCTGACAAGGGCTGCGGAGGGAGGTGCGGGCTGGTCGTTGCCTGGCACGGGGCTCTGAAGCTTGGCTGGGCTGGGAGCAGGACGGTGAGTGGTGGTAGGTCGCATTTGGGAAACGATTATCTGAGCCCTGTATGTACAGACTTGGGGCTGATGTAGGGTGGGGAGGCATTGTCCTGTCTGGTGCCTAGTGTCTGGTGCCTGTTGGTAACTGGTGGGGTGGGTGGAGGTTGGTTAGCGTCCCGGGCACAGGCTTCATCGGGGACGGGAGCATGCCTGGTTACTGGCTCCTGCCTTCCCGTCTCGGTGGGAAGGAAGAACTAGTGCCAGGGAACACCTGTCATGGAAAATTGCCACAGGCGGAGGGGGTGGGGGTTGATGAGAAAATATGGATTCTTTACAAAATTAAAATAAAATTAAAGGCCATCACCAAGCGATTCCTCCTACTTCCCCCCGGTCATGACCAGAACCTCGGGTCTCCTAGCTTTCAATTCCAGCTCGTCCTGTCTCTGAAATGGGATTGCAGTAGCCTCGGAGACTCAAGTTATGGCTAAATTTGTCGCCAGAGTCCTGGGACAACTCTGCCTTGGGAATAGCTCAACCCCCAGCATGAAGGCGTCTTGAGGGAAATTCGATTAGGCCAAGAGCAGGAATTGTCCCAGTTGTTTCAAGCCGTCTGTGTCCCCCCAGTGTTGCTGTGGCACCTTCCACTGAGGTTCAACAAGCAAGAGGCTTACTGCTGGCAGTGTTCTAACCTGGTTGCCCTAGCTGCCCTAGGAAAGGAGTACCATGGTGTGAGCCACCAGAGAGTGCCCACTGCTTAGCCTTCTACAGCCTGCTGGCTGCTTTCAGGGGCTTCCCAGATACCTCTGAGCCTTGATTCCTTAGTGATACAGGAGGAGTTAAAGACAGGTAAACTCCAGAGCTGGACAGGGGCTGCCAGATAACACTTCTGGTGCTATCCCAGGGGTGGCACATTCAGGTGTGTATGTGTGTGTGTGTGTGTGTGTGTGTGTGTGTGTGTGTTGGGGGAGGAGGCATGGGGGTAGCTGAAATCGGGAGCTGGCAGTACTTCCTGGGTAGGTTCTGGTAACAGTATCCTTGGGTTAGCATGAGAGCCCAGAGCTACAGACTGGGTCAATAGAGGCAGTTCTGCACATGGGAAAAGGACAGAAATCCACTAGTGACCTCATCACTCGGCACTTCAGGGTACCACCAAGCTGTACCTCGTATCCACTCCCAGCCTCTGTCCCTTGTATTCTAGACCCAACGTGAATCAAAATTTACCCTTACCTCTTCATCTTGTCGGCTTGCCCCTTGATTTGACTGGAGGGAAGGAGCCTCATAGATGCAGAGAAAGGACAGGGCCTGCTGTACATGTCTCTGTCTTTATTTCTCTGTTTTTATTTCTTAGCTAGCAGGGCAATTGTTAAGAATCTTATCCAGACGAACAGAAGTCCTCAGCAGCCACATTTTGCGGGCTGTTGCCATCTCCACATAATGGAATAATTGACAATGAGCTAACGTTTTTTTAGACACACCCCATTACACCAGAAATGCAGTTGGAGAAATTAAAACATTGCTCTAAAATACAAAATAACATCGTAATAATTTATAGCTGAGAACTGCAATCCTGGGGGGAAAGAATATTTCGTTTTTCTTAGAATCGATAATGCATAGGAAATGATAATTGAATAGTTCCCATGATTTCCAGCCTCTCGTTCATCATATCTGGGTTGAAGGATAGTTAGCATCCTTGTGTGCAAGATGTTTCCGTAAAGGATTTTTTTTTACCCTAACCATCTTTTTGCTACAGAGCAGATACATTTGGGAAGCCAGTGTCCATCTTTTGGGGCTCAGGGATGTTGCCTATAGTGTGTATATTTCTCTGTTACACACATGGTGCTCACTTCCTGGCACTAATCGGAGGAAACTGGATTATTTCCTGGCCTGGTTTCTGTTGGGGGATTCAACTGCTCTTGCCCATTGGATGTCCTTTGCTATGTGCTTGAGATTCATATTAAGGAGGTGGGCTCCACCCTCTGGCTAGAGAAAGACCTGCAGTCCACCAATTAGGATGGTTGCTATGGTGACTCAGCCTTGTCATTTTCAGGGATTGGGGAAGAATTGCCAGGAAAAGCAGAGAGAGAGAGAGAAAGAGAGAGAGAGAGAGAGAGAGAGTAGGAGAGGAAAGGAGAGGAGAGGAGAGGAGAGAGAGACAGAGAGACAGAGAACAGGGCCCCTATGAGGCTGTTTTTTTTTTTTTTTAAATGGGTGCTCTATTTCGTGTGTGCTAAAAATGTTACTTACAAGGTCCACTTCATAAACAAGCACTCAGCGTGTTTACCAAGGGCTCCCGGTAAAGTTAGATGTTGTGAGAAGGGAAAAAATGCTTTATTCTGGGCTTGGGAAACTCCTCAGACTGTGGCTTAGAAGGGGCTGAAATGTTTGAATTGCTCCAGCTTGTGGAGCAGGAAGGTCGGCTGGCCAGACGCCGTTGTTGAATGAAGAAGTACGAAGGGCTGGTGTACTGTGTGCCGGGCTCACAGCTAAGCGTTCTTCTTTCCACACTGGCTTGCGGTCTATTGGAGATAATAACAGCTAGGAGTATGGAGAAAATGATGAGACTTGTGGCACCCGAGTCTGGACTTGGATTCTTGCGAGCCATGTTCAGTTCCAGGATAAAGGAAACTGCTCTAGCGTAGATGGCAAGTTCCGCCTTCAGAGCCGCGTGCTGGACAGACGCTCCCGAACGGCCTCGTTTCAGAGGACTGGGGAGTCCTGTGCAGGAGAGGCATTGGGGCTGCCTGCTTAGCATACATTTATTTTTTTTTCAAATAAATCCTGCTAAAATTGAATTGTGCCGTTCAGTTAAATCTCATGGCCGCAGCTGCACATAGAAGAAATTGCAAACAAGTTTTGAATTGTTTTTAATCCATTAGAATACTAACCGAGCGTAGGCACTTTGCTGGTCCCCAACATGCATTTCCTCTACAAATACAATTTGTGGCCTATTTAGTGGCGATGACAATGTGCTGTAGTCCTGCTGATCAAATGTGTTTTCTAAAGTTCTCAAAGAGGTAAAATTGAAAATACCAGAGGCTTCAGAGAAATGATGTCTTTTAGGAGTCAGTTGGGGGGTCTCTCTCTCTCTCTCTCTCTCTCTCTCTCTCTCTCTCTCTCTCTCTCTCTTTGATGAATGTCTGGCTTGAAATATGCTGTTTCTTTCAGCCACATAATATAATGGTAAACGGCTTTTCCTGACTGCGTTTAGAGCCCAGGGAGAAGGAAGCAGAGGCATTTTGTCTTCTCTGAGGGTTTTCTGTTTATAGACCTGCAAGAGGCAACTTGGATTTGACTATCCATCTCCTTTTCAGAGCCAGAGCTGCTCCTGGACAGAGGGTCTGGACCACCCCTGCCCTTCCCCCAACCTCTCCTTAGGGCCGCTTACACCAATGTCTACTGCCTGCTTTACACTTTCACACTGGGCTGGCTTCTTTCTCCCATCAGCTGTGAGTTATCTGGACCTCAGTGAGGTCAGAGGCAACGGGAGCCAGGAGAGAGCTTGACAACGGGAACCAGACAGAAGAGAGCTTGACTAGACAACACTCCTCCCTGTTAAATTCCCAACCCTGGCCCTGCCTCTACACTCAGGGCATAAAATATGTAGATCAACTTTGGTGGTGTGAAAGTACTTTCAGATGACTTTATAGACGCAATTATGGGGAAATGTTACGATAATGGCACAGTAGACGAGGGGAGAAAAAGCAAAACATTAAAATCCCCATTTCTTTATATAGCTCAGCAGCTGCCTCATTTTTGCTTTAAAACTTGGCGTGCTGGAGTTAATGACCTCTACAGAGTGCAACCTGTCACCTAGGGCTTTGCTGATGCCCCGCCCCTGAGATCACCCAGGGCTAGCATCTAGGCATGGCTGACAAGATTTCTCAGGTGCTTCTAATGTGTGTTGCTGCTACTGGCTCAAGGCCTGTGAGGGGCTGGAACAGGACCCACTGAGGCTCCTCCTTCCTTCTTAAAGGCTCACTTGCCTTTACCAGAACCTCTGAACTGCCCCAGGGATTTCTGTGAGCTGGGGTTTCTATGCAGGCCACTGGCATTCCCTGAATGTCACTGACCCCACTGCTCCAGAGTGCACCAACTAAATAAAGCAGCAGCTGGTGGGAGCTGTCCTGGAGCTGAACTATGGGGCAGGGCGCAGACTTAGCATTGGCAGGGAGTCTCAGTGACTTCCTGGCCCTCTGTCGTGCAATGAGCTTGGTGAAGGACTGAAGAGTGCTTTGTAATACCCACTTCTTAAAATTGGTGGCAGAGAAAAGGGGGCACCCCCTGTACCTATAAGGAGGTAAGTGGGGCTCCTTTGGGATCTTACCCTCTCACATCCTGGGAAGGCA